ACACTCCAGCACCCCCACACCGTCACAATCAGACCCCCCCCCACCGCCTCCCCTGCGGAGGCGATCCATCACGAGAAGCCCCGCGAACCCCCAACCCGGAGGTGCAGCAATAGGTGGAGGAGGAGGAGGAGGAGGAGGAGAAGGAGAAGGAGAAGGAGAAGGAGAAGGAGAAGGAGAAGGAGAAGGAGAAGGAGAAGGAGAAGGAGAAGGAGAAGGAGGAGAAGAAAAACAACACTGAATAGTATATAGTCTATATCAATGTCTTTTGGACCAGGAATTAAAAAGCCCATGATTGCTGGCAGCGTGAATATTACTCTGGCATAAAGTGAGCAAAAGTAGGTCAGGTAACTGTACCAAGTGTGCTGCTCTTAATAAGGGAAATAGAGGCAGAAAAAGGCTACCAGTACTGAAAAATACATCATTAATTCAACTACAAACTTAATTATATACTCTCCCATCTGGTTAATCATTATTTCCTCTATTTCTTTCTCCTTGGTGAAGAATTATAAACAGGAGGTAGTTTGTCTGTAAGGCCCTAGGCCAGTGATGGTGAACCTTTTGAGCTCGGCATGTCAGCATTTTGAAAAACCCTAACTTAACTCTGGTGCCATATCACATATAAAAATTTTTTGATATTTGCAACCATAATAAAACAAAGATTTATATTTTTGATATTTATTTTATATGTTTAAATGCCATTTAACAAAGAAAAATCAACCGAAAAAATGAGTTCGCGTGTCACCTCTGACACGCGTGTCATAGGTTCGCCATCACTGCCCTAGGCTATTAAAGTGTTCTATGGACCACAGAGAAACTTGGAGAAACATTGTCTTAAAGAATAACATCCCTGGCTGGTTGCTCAGTGGTTAGAGCATCAGCCCACAGACCGAAGGGTTGAAAGGTCGATTTCCAGTCCTCGGTTGCAGGTTCAATCCCTGACCCAGGTTCAGCATGAGCGGGAACCAACCAATTAATGCTTCTCTCTCTCTCTCTCTCTCTCTCTCTCTCTCTCTCTCTCTCTCTCTCTCTCCTCTCTCTCTCTCTCTCTCTCGTACCACCTCCCTTCCACTCTCTCTAAAAATCAATGGAAAAAATATCCTCACTCCTCAGGTGAGTATTTTTTTAAAAAAGAATAACAGTAAATCTATTAGTCTACTGGTCTGTTAGGATTTTGACCCATTACAAAAAAACTAATTAACACAAAAGCAAATTCACCTTAAAAACTCTTGCAAGTCCAAAATCTGCCACTTTGTAGATATTATGTTCACCCACAAGGACATTTCTGGCAGCCAGGTCTCTATGGATGTAGTTCTGGGACTCCAGATAGGCCATTCCAGAGGCAACTTGTGTTGCCATGTCGACCTGTTGAGTCAGATTGATTTTTGATCCACCATCATCTAGGCAATAAAAGAAAAGATTTATTTTGGGAAACATTTAAACTATTGAAGTAAATTCTGAGAATCTTGATGAAATGAGCTCTCCATGGGATTAAGTACCATAGCACTGATCTGTTGAGCAAAAATATATATAATCACATAAAAGTTTTTGTTTCCTGTAACGGGTTAATAAGGCAATAATTTTCAGAATCCAAACGCAATCCAAGGCTGCAGTCTGCTCTTCCCTGAATGAGTGTTACACAGAGAAAGAAACAATAATATCACATGATCCAAGCAGCTATAAAGATCTGAAAGAGTCCAAGTTTTGCCATTTTCCATACCTCACATCACTGTCTCATCTCCTCATGGAAATTGTTACTTGGTCACCTCAGGATGTCTTTCAAATATTGCATAGTTTGTTTTAGTCTTTGAACTTGTAAAACGATGCTAATTTGAATGGCTAGGCTGATGAAAAGCTCTCATCCTTCCATCACATTGTACTCAAGAACTAGCTCACTAATAGAGGTTGGTGTTATTTTGTGATGACTTTGTGAAATGGGACCAGCCATACCTGGGTAGTATTTTGCTGCCACACTCTTAGTAGATGTGTTCAGCTTTCTGAATAATTTACAAACTGTCGTATAAATCTAAACCATCATTATCCCCGACTGAATAAGCCAAATATTGTGAAAAATGTGTGGGATTCATGGTCCAGAGTCTTAGGCACAGCTCCTGACTTGAGAGGCAACTATAGTGCAGGGGTTTAAAAGACTGGTGTGAAGCCAGAGTGCCAGAATTTGGATGAGGGCTCTACCTCACATTTCTGTCCTGCCCATGGGTAAGCTGCATCACACTCCTATGCCTCATCTCTCATCTACATAGCGATAACTGTTGTTAAAATGAGAATTAAAATGAGTTAAGACATGTAAAGCACTTAAAACCATGCCTGGCACCTAGAAAGAACTCAGTAAACCCCACCTATTCTTGTTATCATTGCTGCTGCCTAATCAGAATTAAAGAGTTTAGCATTTGCAAAGCTAGAGGTGCATGTGGATTATCCAAATTTAAACGCCTAAAAGAAAACAAGCAGATCAGTTTAGAGTTCTGGGGAAAGCAGGCAGCTAGAGATAATGATTTAACAGTCACAGTTCATGAGTGAGAGTTAAACATTAAAAGTGAAACATTAAAAATAAAAAAAATTGCTTGAAAGCAACATGAGAAACAGCAACATTTAGAGTGCGAAAAAGAGTCACCACCATTGTCAAAGTCTACAAATAAGTCCAGCAAGATAGGGACTAAATATAATAACTAGGGGAGTCATTGGTGACTTTGGTGGCAGGAAAAGCTGTTTCACTGGAGATGGAGTATAAGGGGTTGAGGGCTGGATGGGAGCTGAGGACATGGTGACATCCCTCTTGAGCACCCTAAAGTCAGGGACTCCAGAGAAACTTCCATTCACACAAACAGCAACAAGTTATATAGTTGTATTCAGTTAAAGGATATCTCAGTGAAAACATTCCTGTCTCCTTCAGTCCACTTAAGTGAACTGTCAATGAAATGATGAGCAACGTGCTAAGATTTGATTTATTTTTTTAAGAAAACAACCTAACCTATGTCAGATCTATAAGTATTTATTGGAAAGAAAACAAGCCCAACTAAACTAGAAAATAATGCAGATAGTTATCCTCTTCAAAATTTCAGTAAGAAATACCTGCATCAATTATCCTCAATGCTGAAGTCTTTTGACAAGCCTCTCCCATTTTGGAGAAATTTATTGCAAAAAATATTCAGCTAAGCTTAGGGATTATAAAGATGGCTCTATAGAAAAATGCGTATGTTATTTCAACTATCAAATACAACATCTAATCCTATTACAGTGGACATAAAAAGGTTTTCACTGACAGGCACAATAGAGAAGGAAATTGAGTAATAACAAATTTCCTACCCTGAAAAAGTGTAGTGGCCTAGAACTGCCTAACTCAACCTCAGAACACACTTCAAATAAAATGGCCAGATGTCAAAACTGATATAAAGGTTCACAGACATGTGACAATTTGCATCTGTAGCAAGAAAATATTTTCAATTATGTTCCTGCACTCAGGAGTCTCTCATCTTAATATTTATCATTATAGGCTATTTAAGAGTAGAAATTTCATTATAAGATCACATGTCGAATTTAAGTCCTCTTGATTGGGAAGGGATTGTCTACAATAAGCATATCTTCACTACTCCTCCTTACTGTTAACTAGCCTGGTGAATGGCAGCCTTGGTAAACTTGACCTCATGTGCCAACAGGGCTCATGCTTAGCCCCGAGTAAGACACATTAACAAGCCACAGAAATTCTCAATGCCAAGGGAGTCTGCAGGGTAATAAGTGGGTCTTTTCAAGCTGATACTAAGAGCCTCAAAACAAGCTTGACCCCAAGTCAATCTTATTAGGTTCAGAATAGCCCCAACTTAATCTATCCATGAATTTATCCATTCAGTCAGTCTGTACATTAAGTAGTGCACACCATTTATAGTTGTTCTAGCACTAAAACAAAAGTCTCTGCTCCCATGGAATTATACTTTAGAAGATACTAAAAATAAGCTACATAAATGTCATGTAGTATAGTTAACAGCTAAATGAAAAAAACAAAAAGCAGAAAAGAGGAATATAAAGAGTCAATAGAGGGAGATTAAATTTTAGAATGTACAGGGTGATCGGTGAAGGACTCACCATAATGGGGATGTCTGAAGATCTTTCAGGAAGATTTTCAGAAAGGAAGGAAGTGGACTATGTGGATAGGTAATGGGAAACAATTTCAGATCTAAAAAGCAGCAAGTGTGAAGCACCTGAAACAAAGCACATCTGGAAGATTGGGAGATTAGCAAAGAGGGCAGTGTAGCTGACACAGAGTGAACAAGGGGCAAGTTGTGGGAGATGTGGGCAGAGAGGTAATGGAGAACCAGGTCACTCAGTACGTTATGGGTTATAGAGAGTAGAACCAATAGGAGTCACTGAAAATTTTGAGCTGAGGAGGAACATGATCTGACTTACATTTTAACAGGATTTCTCCAGCTACTATAATGAGAAGAGATGAAGGGTTCAAGAACCAAAAGAGGGAGTCCAGTTAAGAAGCTACTGCAGAACCCAGGAGAGAATTGATGACGGCTTGGACCAGAGTGGGAATATTGAGAAGTAGTAATATTCTGGACATATTTGGAAAGCAAGACAATAGAATTTGCTGGTTGGTTAGACATGGGATGTGAGAAGAAGTAGAAATGAGTCCAAGATATTAGGTCCAATTGTTGACATTGTCAAAGAAAGAAAACCACAAGAGTAGCAGATTACTGGGAATAAACAAGATCAGTTTGGGACATGTTTAAAAATGTCTAATAGACATAGGTAGTAGGGCTGTTCACATACATTTATTTTTGTCTCCATTCAAACACCTTAGATAATCACACTCCCCTACTCTATTTGACTTGATTAGGCCAAGTGAAGAGGACACGAAAAGTCACCTCTGTCACTCAGGGTCAAAAACTTTAAGAGCCAGAATAAGATTAGTCCTATCCCCTGCCCCTGGCAAGGTGATCAAAAGAGCTGAGGCACCAGTCAGTCTATTTTGTACATGTATCATAGACAAAAGAAACACTTGTTAAGTCTGTGGGACTTGAAGGGTGCTCCTTACTGCATCATACCTACATTATTTAGACTGACACTGCAGTTAGGTAGAGAAGTTAAGAAGGCAGTTGGATATATGATTCTGAAGTAATGAAGAGATATATATTGGGGAATTTTTCATACATAAATGTTACTAAATAATGCAACTGGCTGGGATTAGCAAGGGATATGGCAAAAGAGTTGTGAAAAGTTCTAAGATTTTGAGAAGACATGAGAGAGATCATATAAATTGAGAAGAACCAGCAAGAAGCATAGGAGGAAAAGCCATTGAGTGAAGTGTCCTGAAGGAAGTGCTTCCAGAGGAGATAGTGTCCACCAAAGAAAGTACTGATAATTAGTCTGAGGATTAGAAATTGACTGTTAGACTTAACACTGTGAATGTTGTAAGTGACCTTGACAAAGTATTTTTGTTAACGATGAACCAAAATGGCTCCCGTATGTTTGTCCCTGGGAATAAGGAAAAAGGTTCATTGGTTAAACTTAGTCTTTCTATAGTGCACAACATATTCTGATGCTGTTAAATTTTATATATTTATCCAAGGGAGCTAGCATGTTTTTGCTTGTAATAGCATTTAACAGGCCTTATGTTCTTGGTTCTTCTAATCTAGTTTTGCAACTTAATATTACTAGCTTCACCTGAAATAAGAGAATACTTGTATCTTTCTGTTATCTTCATCATATCATTCTCATCTCCCTTTACCTCTTTATACATTATGTCAATCCCACTCTAACATTTTGAAAAGTATAGAAAATTCTTTTTTTAAGTATGAATTACAGTTGACCCTGGAACAACATGGGTTTAAACTGCACAGGTCCCTGGGTTTTTGTTGTTGTTTCCCAGTAAATACCTGTACTGTTTTTGATCTGCAGTTGGGAGCCCACAGATGCAGAGGGCCAACTGGATGCATTGATCTATGCCATTTTATATGGGGGACTTAAGCATCCATGAATCCTTATGTCTGCATGGGGTCCTAAAACCAAGCTTCTATGGCTACTGAGGGATAATTATAATAATTAACTTCGAGGGGGTCAAAAGTTATACACGAATTTTCAATTGTGTGGGGGGTCAGCACCATAACCACACATTGTTCAAAAGTCAACAGTATTCTCTCAGTTCTTGATCTCAACTACTTTGAACATCTCATTTTAAGGCTTACTATATTGTTGCTTATGAAAGTTTTCATTAATAAACATCCAAGCTTTACAATGCCCTTAAGTCTTCTCTGACTATAGGAAGCAGATGTAAAAATAAAGCAATAGCATATTTCTGCTTTTTAGTACAAAAATTATAATATTGCCTAACAGTGAAAGTATTTTAAACACAAACAACTACAACTTAATCAAACACTGGCAAAGAAAAAAAATGAGGCTACTTCTACCTCTCTTTCTCTGAAAATATTTTATATCCCCTAATTCTGAGCCATAGAAAAATCTTGGTCCATGACTGATAATGTTCAATTAGTTATTATAGGAAAGAAAGGATGACGCAAAACATCTATTCTTCAATTTTCCACATTACATTTAAGTACTTCGATGTGTCTATTGTGAACACTTTGTTCTCCCACTACATAAATATTTTCCTTCCTTTGAGTACACAGTATATATTCTATTAAAGAATAGTTGGGCAATTCAATGTGAAGACATTCATTCTCACCGATATACACATAGTAAATATCCTTTGGGTTATAGAAAGCTTGCTAAATTGACATTTATAGGACTTGCTAAACAAAATTACGCTCTTTTTTCCTTTTATTAAGTCTTTAGCTTACTTCGGAGATATTCTAGCAGACTTCCATGTCTCATCAACTCTGTAATAATATAAATTGGATCTTCTAAAGTGCAAACAGCATAAAGCTGGATAAGCTTTGGATGTCTTAGGTTCTTCATTATCTGAGCCTCCCTCAGGAAGTCATTTGGATCCATTGAACCTGAAACAAGAAGAGGGAGAAATCACTTTAAGTTATTGAAGCTTCCCTATCCTCCCAGCAGCCTGGTGGGAATCACCAAGATTGCTTCCTGCCTTTCAGTAAAGTAAGAGCATTGGTGTCACAAATCTTCAGATTTATCAAAGAAGAGAATCAGTTCAGCCAAAGCAACCTAATACTGGATGTATTGGTGCATCAGGGTGTGCAGTTTATGTGTTATGACCTGTAGCTGAAGAAAGGTTGATTCAGGTCCATGTGAAAAATAAAGAAAAAAGGAGAGACTGACAGTCTGATAGATAAAACAAGGCAGGCATCTTCAGAACACAAAGAGAAGACATTCTGTTAACATGAATACTGGAGAACACTGAGTATTTTGGGCCCAGGATCCGGGGAAGACTGATAGCTTCCCTGTCCTTGGTACCCATTATAGGAACAGGTGGTTAACAATCCTAAAGCAATGACATTTGCCTGTATTTATGTCTTTATTTCTGTAGGAGCATATGGTATAGACCAGGGGTCCTCAAACTTTTTAAACAGGGGGCCAGTTCACTGTCCCTCAGACCGTTGGAGGGCCGGACTATAGTTAAAACAAAAACTATGAACAAATTCCTATGCACACTGCACATATCTTATTTTGAAGTAAAAAAAAACAAAACTGGAACAAATACAATTGTTGTATTTGCATGTGGCCCGCGGGCCATAGTTTGAGGACCCCTGGTATAGACCAAGTAGAAAATATTCAAAGGCCACTCCCAAAATTTAGTATTTCTTCCATCAGTCATTTGTGTCTAAGTTGAAACTGATATTCAACATTTTCTTCTATATTAATATTTCCACAGTTAGAGTCTTAATATCATGATCATATGATAAGGGATACAGTATTGGGGCCTATTCTGAAGACTCATCTACAATTAATTGCATTTAAATGGCTCAACTTTGACTCACCATGCAAAGTACCAAGTAGCTACCATCAAATAAAATCTGAGAGGAAGAGGATACCTGGAGTTTACATTTCATCAGTAACTTTTAAATCTTTAACTTCTTGTGGGATATGATGTTTCAGAGGGATTACTGTAAGTGAATAAATACTATAATTTCACACCTCAGTATTCACTATGGATAGTGCAAATATTTCCACTGATGCTCAAAGAGACTGTTTCACTCATCATCGTCTCATGTTGAAGATTTCACAACTGATATTTGAACTGAGGCCTGGAGATAAGCTCTGACATTCTAAGGTAATAAATACTCTGACCTGTTTACTAATGTGAAGTTAAGAAGAGTTACATGTGACCTGCAGATCATTTCACATGAAGCATTTAGGCCATCTATCCATTGATATGCCCTTTGAAAGTCCAGAAGTTCAGAACCCAGGCTCAATTAAACTCAATTCTGAACAAATCCTGGCTCACTGTGTGATCTTTAGTAAGTTACCAAACATCTCTGAACTTCAGTTTCTCCATCTGTAAAATGTGGCTAATCATCTCACTGACATCATAAAATGATTATCAGGATAATAACAATGCCTGACACATACTAGTATGTATTTAATGACTCTTGACCATTATTTGTATGATTAGAAATAGCATACACTGGGGTAAACTAACCAAATCAACTGTATGTATTTTTCACAGGCTGAGGAGGGGAAAGGGTAAGGACTTTAAGAAGGAAGATAGGGGAAATGGCCTATTCTCTTTTCCATCACATTTTGCTGAGCTTCCTCAGTTCCATCCACACCATTTGCTTGCCCTATATAATCAAGTACTATTAAAATCTTGAATCATAGTGGCAAAATGAAGCTGAATATAAAAGAGACACTCAAACCATAATAAAGGACTTTGTTCTTGGTTGTTACAACTAGATTGGCCTATGATCAGATACAGATATAGTGGGATACTTCCCACCCCCCAAAAATGAATCTGATTTATGGAGTTCCCAGTGATAGCAGAAATTATGATCATCATTCAGACAACTTAGATATACAATGTGTTTCTATGCGGATGCTTTGGTTGGGCATCAGATTCATGGAATACAAGACACCCACATCAGTGCCAAATCAGACTGTCCACAATAGCTGAAACCACTGTATGTCAGGAGCCGCTGCAGGTGAGGGCTGGCTGCACTGGTTATAGCTGACCAGCTGCACAGCAAAGGAGACCCGATCTCAACTCCGCTTGTAATGCAACATTAAATATTAATTTCTGCCTGTCAAAGCTACTGTGGGAGTTGATTTCAGGCTCGTCTTTATTGCATAGTAGTCTGCTAAGCAATAAATAGCTGCTGAGATTGATTAATGGCCCCAGTGAAGTGAAGACATTTAACCAATCACCGAAGCTGTTTGCTGCTATTAGACTGTAAATCAATAATAATTATTCCTGTTGGAGAGAAAAGTATTGCGGCACATTTTTTGATATAAGAAATCTGATTTTTTTTTGTTCTTTTTTGAGGAGGTCTTCTTTGAAGAGCAATGTTCAGATGGATAGCTAGCTGCTTCTTTTTGGAAAAGCATTAGATTGGACATTAAAGTTTACTGTCAATTATCAACAAAATTAGGATTCAAAATCATCAACACACAGTGACTGTGAAAAATCTCAGGTACTGGAACAGGTCTCCCTCCCTCACCTGGAGTACTGGCATGGCATCTGGCCACTTAAAAGTGCTTCTGCATTGTTCTCTGTTGGCAGGGGTAAGTGGCAAGGCTGGGCTTCTGCACTGGCGAATTTGTATACCAGTGGACCTTGAAGCTAACATTTATTAAGAATTCACTGCAGATATTTGATGTAAATTTACTCAATTTATCCTTATAAAATCCTATGAAGTAGGAACTGACATAATTTCCACTTCGGATGAGGAGGTTCAAAAAGTTGAATAAATTGTCCAAACTCATACAGGGCAGAGTCACGTTAGGACTCAGGTATGTCCTACACCAAACTTTATGCTCTTAACTATTATAACAGAGGGTCTCACACTTACTCAGTTCGTGGCACACTCGCTGTCTCAGTACATTTTTCACAATGCTCCTAAGCCAAAATGAATACCTAACAGTCCTATTAATTACTCGGTTACATGCAAACAACTTAAGATGTACTTGTATCCTAACAAAATTAATTTTTAAAATTGTATTCTTAACTACAATTAATTACTAAAGGAATGCATGCAACTACTGGGCAGTGCACAATTTCTCAGTTCTTGGAAGCAGATAAAACACTGCTACCTACATATCCTGTTCCACATTGATTTTTGTGTGGATCTTGCATTTGATCACAGCAAACACCAAAAACCTGGTTTGATGTCAGCAAAAGGAATATAACATGATCTAATGCTGAAGCTGCAAATTATCTTACGGTGTAGCAGTTTGTGCAGTATTTGAGATGTTCACCTCAAAACTTTTAAATCCAATCCTTGGTCAGTTTGGAACAATAGTGCTTACAAGACTGCTAGCCAGCAGCATCCAGGTGCTCAAGTGCTGCCACCTGGTGGCTTTCTGAACTTCTAAGAATTCTGGACTAGGTATATAATGGAGGTCCCACAGAGAATTATATTCTAGCTTTTGGTTACTATTCTTTCCCGTTATTAGAAGTAGATATGCGGCTACTACAGCAACATTTCACTTTCATAGAATGTCACTTCCTTGGGGTGTGATGCAATAGGAGTAGATGTGAGTTCAAATTCTAGCTGCCTTTTACTGACTGTTATTATTATAGTTTTATTATTATTATAGTTTTGATTGGTTGTGTACTATAAATCAGACAATATGTAAAGCATTGCCACTAATGACTTAATTTAATCTTCATAGCAACCCTGCTAGGTTGACCTTAACTCTATTAACTCTATTTTGCAAATGATAACACTGAGGCTTGGAGTGATTTAAAAATTTCCTCAATAAAAACGAAACCCTCGGGGTGTTCCTGGTGAGAATGCAGACTGGTGCAGCCACAGTATGGAGTTTCCTCATAAAACAAAAAATGGAACTTCCATTTGACCCAGTGATCCCACTTCTAGGAATATATCCCAAGAAACTAGAAACACCAATCAGAAAGGATATATGTACCCCTATGTTCATAGCAGCACAATTTACCATAGCTAAGATTTGGAAACAGCCGAAGTGCCCATCAGCAGATGAGTGAATTAAAAAACTGTGATACATCTACACAATGGAATACTATGCTGTAGCAAAAAAGAAGAAATTCTTACCATTTGCAACAGCATGGATGGAACTGGAGAGCATTATGCTAAGTGAAATAAGTCAGTCAGAGAAAGATAAATATCACATGATCTCACTCATTTATGGAATATAATGAACAACATAAACTAATGAACAAAAACAGATCCAGAGACAGAGAAGCAATGATCAGACCGTCAAACCTCAGAGGGAAGGCAGGGGAGGGTGGGGGAAGGGGGAGAGATCAACCAAAGGACTTGTATGCATGCATATAAGCCTAACCAATGGACACAGACAACAACGGGGTGAGGGCATGAGGGGGGGGCAAGGGGGCAATAAGGACACATATGTAATACCTTAATCAATTAAGAGAAAGAAATGAAAAAATGTCCTTAATATTGTATGACAATTAAGTCTTAGGAAAGTTATTTAATCTGTCTCAATTCTCCTACCTCATTTTTAAAATAAAGAACATAATGTCTGGCTGGATAAATACTGATTTTAGTATACTTTCAATTTTCACTACAGGGAAAAAGAAGATAGAGGAAAAAATAGTTCCTACATTTTCAAATACGAGCTCTTTAGATGGACCATTTTGTCTTTTGACCATACGCAACAAGTGTAAAAGAAAATAATCATTCCCTGAAATAACTCCAAGTTTCCACTGATGTAAGTATGTTCCATAAATGAGCATTTTTAACTACACCTAGGAGAAAAGGGGAGGAGGAACACTGGAGGGTTGGTCCCTAACCCTAGACAAAAGATGCCTATTGAAATCTTACATGGGGGACATATTAAGACTTAGCTGATCCAGGGAGCATGGTCTTGCCCTACAGTCTAAGCCTTGGCCCTGGGTTACAGTCACCTGGACCAGAGAGTGATTACAACACTTGCTTGATGTCTGCATGGGCCGCCCTGTGACCTCTTGGACAGCGGCAAGTTGAACTTATAAAAATCAACATATGCCATTGAAGCTTTGACGTTCTCATTTTCTTACCTGGTTTTAACGTTTTTACTGCTACTGGAGTAGTATTGTTCCAGAGGCCTTCCCACACTTCGCCAAACTGACCGGATCCTAATCGCTTCAGAAGTTGCACAGACTTGCGGTCTATCTCCCACTGGTCCACAGTTTTATATGACAAATCAAAAGGAGCTGGCACTTGTATCTGTATCATGGAATAATAAGAATATTTGTAAGAAAAAAAGATTTAACAATTTTTTGAATGAAAGTAATAGTCCATGTCCTTTTTTAAAAAGACCATTTTAATAAAAAAACACAAAATATTATAAATTGTATTCTAATTGCTTTAAAATAAAAAGCAGTTGTGGAAGAATCTATATACTAGTAATTACTTCTTCAAGCTGTGTGCTAACTCAGGCACCTGCTGTCCATCTGTCCCACCCCACCCCCAATTCCTCCCTCACATGGGTCTGGAATGATTTCCCTCTGCCCCTTTGCCTAGCTAAATTTTAAGGCCAAATTGAAGTTTCCACCTCATTCACAATTACTTCCCAAACTCTTTGGCCCATAGCATTTACTACATGTATCACATATTTTTGCATAATTAAAATTTTCACCTTTTTTGAAATTCATTTATTTGTTCATTCATCCATTTACTTGTCCACTTAATAAATAAATATTTCAGCTAGGTTCCATTCTGTAACCAAAAAGGCCAGGCACTGCTCTCCTAGAATCCATAGTCTAGTTTACCTTCTACCACCCGGTGCTTCTCCGTAAACCCTTTTCCCCACTGGATTTAACAATATTGGTCAAACTGAGTATTTTGTAAGCTATATCTTTGGGTATAAGCTATATATTGAGTATTTTATAAGCTATATCTTTGTATGTTTTGGATATAAGCTGTATCTTTGGAAGCTTTTCTTAGCAAATGCTTAGATACTATTGTGGGGTCATTCCTATACTATCTAAGATGTACATACACCAAAATTGCATATTAACTTGGAAGAATTTAACTCAACGTATTCTATACATACTATATAAAATTCTTCAGCTTCTACTATCCATAAAATTCTGATCAGGTGTCACCATGCTTTCATCAGTCATCCAGGTATAAACCACAGTGCTGGCTACCCCACTGACAGTACGTGAGACCTGGGCTCTGAGGAGAAGCTGAGGGCTTGCCCCACCACAGCACATGACCACTGCATAACTTTAAATACATTTAGGTAAAACAAGCCAACAACTAAATGATGATGGATGTAGACAAGTCTATAAGTGTTATCTCCTCCCACGAAACAGCTTAGGTCAAACAATCAAACTGTTAGAACAATTAGTTTAATGATATCTATATGTAGACAACTCATCCAGATAATTAACCTACTAATTTCATATTAATATTCCTGAATGCAGATCTAAGTAGGAATTATATTCTGGCACTTTTTTTCTTTCCAGCCATATCATTAAGTGCTCCAATGGCAGGATACCATATTAATTTCTTAGTGCAAAGGATGAATATTTTCTGTCTTCAGTGATTGCTCTAGGTCAAGGGTTAGCAAACTTTTTCTGAAAAGAATAAGATAGTAAATATTTTAGGCTTTGTGGCTCATACAGTCTCTATTGCAATTACTAAACTCTGCTATTACAGTAAAAAAGCAAAGAGAATTTGTAAATAAATGAGCATGTCTATGTTCCCATAAAATTCACTAACAAAAGTAAGTGTGAGACAGTATTGGCACATGGGCCATAGTCTACCTATCCATGCCTTAGGTAACCAAATGACCTTTTTTTTTTTTTTCTGAACTGATGAATCACATGAAAAATATTCAGTACCTTAAGGGGAAAAGTTAACTTCAAAAATAAATGAACACAGCTTGAAAGCATTTTACCTTTAAGCATGGTTTCCCCAGCTTGACACACAGGCCATCGCTTGTCTTGGTGTAGTGTCTCACGAATTCATTCAGCGTGGTAAAGGTTCTTATCCGAGTAAGGCAAAAGCCCCCTTCATCCAGTCTTCTGATTTTGTAGTGTTTCACGACCCTTTCAACTAAAACTGGAACCCAAAATAAGTCCCGTTAATAACTTCTTGCCAAAGCCAAGCAGATTTACTTATTTTGTGGTGATAGTTTGAATGTACGGAATAAAATTTTCACAAATTCTACTTATTTATCAACTTTGTTTCAGAAAATACTTCAGCATATTTACAAAGGACATACAGCAGAATAAAAAAAAAGAGTTGTGAAATGATAACTTAAAGGAAATACAGGATAAAAATAACAGAGTGAGGCTAGCCCTAGAAAACTGCACCGCGGCATAATATATTTGACTAAAACATGCCATACAATTGATTCTATCATTCTGGCAATGCGAAGAGGAAACATTATCAGTTTCAGAAATTGCAGCATTGATAAGATAAAATCATAAAAGGTGTTTGAAAATAGTTCAACTCTTCTTGATACAAAGACCAGGAAGAATTTTCTCCCATGAAATCCTATAACATGGACACTGAAATAGACTATTCAGTGTCCTCAGTACTATCAGACAATAATATACAAAATTTTGCAGGGCCATTCATTCTCTATCTCTCAATACAGGCTGATATGCCCTAGCACATTTCAATAAAAGCAATTCCCCGGGGCCTAAAATGACACAGTCTATGTATACAATTTTCCAGCCGTTTTGCTTATCTCAGGGATAAGTCCTATAGCATTGAGGAATAGACCACTTGCCCTTTTGAAGTCACCTGACTTGCAGTGAATATTCTGTTGCTTTTGCTTTCCACTAACCATTGTCCTCTCTTCTAGCAATGGCACCCCAATATTCCTTGAAGAATCAATGCTCCTCTAAGAGCATGTGGTCCAAGGGGACCTGGTGCCAACCCTGAGCCAAGGAAGGCAGTCAGAGCCAAGAAGACTGAATTCCAGGACTTATATTAGAGAGCTCTAGAAATACAGGAAGAAATTTGTTACCGTTGTTGTCTTGTTGCTGTTCCTGTTTAACTGCTGGGAGTTTGGAACTATCAGAAAAATTCTTCCCCCTCCAGGGAAAGAGGTAAGTTGCCTAAGAAGAGAAGCTGTCCAAGTGGAAAAACAGAGTCTTGATAGGAAATGTGAAGCTTGACCCCTGGGGCCAGCCAAGCCTGGCTTATCAGCTATGAGGTCAATTAATTTCCTAATTTTGGTTTTCTGCACTTGTATTAAAAATATTTACTGATGCTCTTCATAGCTACCCATTCACTTAGCAAAGTTATTGGTAAGTATTGAGCAGCATTTACCAGGAATAGAGATAGTGTGAATTCCTTGCTAAATATTGAAACGCATGCTTTATTAATCAGTCAAGTTGGAGCAATGCTTTCATGAACGGAAAGAAGACTGAGAAGACATCTCAATCCACGTACAGAGGTTACAGAGGGTTACTGAGGGTATGTCAAAGGCTCGGACAATATTTTCCTGGAAAAGTTATTGGTGTACACAGAAGAGCTATAATTTAAAAAAAAAGACAATGTCAAGCATTGACAAGGAAGCGAATAACTAGAATTATCTCTCTCCACACAGTGGATAAAACTGTAATTTTTACAATCACTTTGGAAAACTATTTGTCATGATCTACTAAAGTTCAACATAACCAGACCTGTAATGTAGTAATTCCACTCTTAAGTATATAATAAACAAAAATACACAATATATTCATCAAAACGCATATATAAGAATGTTTTTAGTGGCATTTTTGTCAGAACCTAACGCTGGGAACAATCTAAATGTCCATCAACTATAGAATGGACTAATATAAATTGTTTATATTTGTCCAGTGGAATACTATAAAGATATGTAAATATACAGATAACAATAACATGAATGAATCTCACAAACACAAAATTATGATTCCATTATTTAAAAATGTAAAAAGAGCAAAACTGTTGATATTAAGAGTCAGACTGGGGTGTTGGGGACATTCTATTTCTTGACTGGGTGCTGGGTACATGAGTATATTCATTTTGTGAATGTATACCAGACTAAACTTTTTTTTTTTTAATACAGAGGGAAAGAGTATATTTAGCTTCTCCAAAAGCAATACAAATTCTTAAATTACAATATTTAGGTATCTGGAACACTTACTTGTACTCTCTGTGTCAAATTACCATTCCCACTGATTATGACTTTGGGACAATGTTAATTGGCCTGTAAAATCATCACTAAATAAAAGAGTTTTATTAAGACACAGAGCTAAGTACGTCGCAGATTCCTATGTATGGATTAAAAGGTTAACAATATATCAAAGAGAGCGGTAAACAATATTAGCCCAAATTTATTTCTCCACAAAGTAATAAAAATATTAGCAGTAGAAAGGTAGCTAAATATAAAATATATCTGCAGTTTATATAAATTATTGCTCTGAATATTCAATCTTTGCCATCCATCGAAAGAAAAGTGAGCAAATGATAGTTGAGATGTCTAGTTAGCCAATAGGTCTATAATTAGAAATGATAAAAAGCAATAAAAAAAATCCCCATATTTAAACAAGATGAACAATATCTGGTTCCAAATTGACTACATGGGAGTTAAGCATAAACTTAGCAATTCCTTTTTAGTGCACCACTGAAGACCTAATGATTTCCAAGCTAGACACTAAAGCCAATAGATGGCTGAAGAGTCAAAATACTCCTTGTGATATTCTTAAAAAGGTATGCAAATCACAATGATTGATATTGATTATAAAGAAAGCCTAATAAATGTTTGCCAACTATTTGCAGATAAAGATTTAAACCCTCAGTTGTAAAAACCAGTTCTGTCTAATACATCCAGAGTTGTCAAGCACAATAAAAGTAATTGTGTTTAACCAAAAAGATGGGGAGATGGGAGACCCATATTACAATTTAACTTTATATGACCAAAACATGTCAGTCTCGCTGGTCCTCAGCTTCTTCGTCAAGAGTAGGCTTTGAGAAATCTTCACATTTCCAAATGTTTCCACCTTAGTGTTCCAACATTTATTTTTTTAAATTTATATTTACTGTTGAAAGTATTACAGATGTCCCCTTTGTTTATTTGTGTGGTTTTTTTTATTTTTTCCCATTGACCCCCTCCACACCATACTAATGGCTGTTGCTTCTTCTCTCTAAATTCCTATTTCTTTTTTTATTCCCTTTCACAATACTTAGTTCTCACTTTGGAGCCTTGAACACCACTTGAAAGCTTTTCCTACGCATCTTCCCATAAGGTTTCAATTTAAATCCCCAGAACCAGACTTCCCCACCCACCTTATGGAATATACCCCTCCCCAGCTCCTGTTTAATGGCATATATATATTTATAATAACCTATTATGGCATTCATCTCAGTAGAGGTGGTTCCGTGAAGGACAGAGGCTCTGCTGTCTTAATCCAGAGCTTGGCACAGAGTAACAACTAACATAAACATCTGCTAGATGCATGAATGATGTCACTGACTCTGGGATTTGAAGTGAAATATAAGCTTTTGAAATGTCAACTGCAAAATTAAATAGGTAATTACATAAATACTTTCAGGACAAGATTTCCTTGGAATTTTATTTGTAAAGGGAGGAAAATGAACTTAGCTCCAGGATATAAAGACTATTAGAGTACAGTCATTCATGGTTATAGCCAATTTCTTAATTTTTTGCAACATAACACAGAAATAACTGTTTCATCTATTATTGACAGTGAGGGTATTTCTATGTGGTTCATTCAAGTTTTCAATCTAAACAAGATTGAAAGGTTTATGTAATTGAAAAATTAGACCACAGAAGCTATATGAAGGAAATTCAATACAGTGTAGTCAGGATGGAGGCACTTTTAATATTGTATTCCTGAGTAATCAAATCCAAATTATATGATTGTTTTTTAAAAGTGGTTTTAATTTGTTAGTAGTGAATCCACACATTTGTATTGACATTCCAAATAAAGATTGAATTCAGGGGTCTCAGAACTAGGGAGAAATAAATGTCCTATTCCTTTTTTGGTTCACTGTAACCTTTATTATTGAACCAACCTACTCCAAGTTCTAGAGACCAGAAGTGAATAATAATACTTGTGCCATTCTTATTGTGAATTACTATGGGTTCAAATTAGTTAAGCATTTTAGTAGCTCAACTGCAAAAAATATAAGGCTAACTATAAAATATAATGGAATCACCCATCAAAAACTCAGTAGAATCATGATTGAATGAACTGAGCTAAAAGGCCAAGCACCCTGAGTTTGCTTCTTGACTCTCATTTATGCTCTTTGACCTAGGGGTAAATGTTTCACCTGTCAACTGACTAATTTACCTGAACATATCCAAGAAGAGTACAATAAAGGTTTGTTGAATGCTTAAAGAAATAAACTATTTCTGCTCATAAACTTCTATAAGGACCCAGACCCAAGTCACCTGATTATCCAGAGCAACTGCTTCTGGGGGAATTCATGTGTTATCAATAGAGTGTTGAGATTTTAGTCCAATTTTCAGATGCAAATGCTTTTTCAAGTAGTCAAAGGTTGACATAGAAGCCCAGCTTTCTCCTATGGTGAGATCTTATGTTACATTGTCTCTCATGGTAGAAACGGGTTTGTCTACCACTGCACAAAGGAGTGCTGTGAGATTTCATCAAATAGAAATTTCGAAGTCCTGTCCTCATTCTACCACACCACTAACATATTATTCAGAACATATTAAATCATTATGAAATCCAAGATATTCCAAACTTAGATTTTTTTAAGACAGAACTTCCAGAAATTAATTTTTGAATACAATATGTATAGAGTCTGTGTCTGAATCACTCAAAGACAACCTAGTACACTCAATGAAAAATATCAATATAACAAGGAGTTTGGCATTTTATAGATAAACAAATGGTTAACTGAGCTAGTTTTCATTTTCTGACTAGTCCTCTGGGATCATTTGGGCATAGCTGTATTCCTACTAACTGATAATAACCTGGTCCTATACTGAGTAAAACGATTTGACTTAGATGATTGAGCAAAGTGTTGACAATCAAGAATTTACTGCCCTAATCTTGTCTGCCAGGGATTTGTTCTTTGACCTTAGGCAAGAAATT